GGACAGACAGAGAGAACGATAGAAGGACAGACAGACAGACAGAGAATGATAGAAGGACAGGCAGACAGACAGAGAATGATAGAAGGACAGGCAGACAGACAGAGAATGATAGAAGGACAGACAGACAGACAGAATGATAGAAGGACAGACAGACAGAATGATAGAAGGACAGACAGACAGACAGACAGAGAGAACGATAGAAGGACAGACAGACAGACAGACAGACAGAGAGAAAGAAAGAAAGAATGATAGAAGGACAGACAGACAGACAGACAGAGAACGATAGACAGACAGAGAGAACGATAGAAGGACAGACAGACAGACAGACAGACAGAAAGATAGATAGACAGACAGAGAGATAGAACGATAGACAGACAGACAGACAGAGAGATAGAACGATAGACAGACAGACAGACAGAGAGATAGAACGATAGACAGACAGACAGGTAGAACGATAGACAGACAGAGAGATAGAACGATAGACAGACAGAGAGATAGAACGATAGACAGACAGATCAGTCTGTCTGTCCTTCTATCGTTCTCTCAGTCTGTCTGTCCTTCTATCGTTCTCTCAGTCTGTCTGTCCTTCTATCGTTCTCTCAGTCTGTCTGTCCTTCTATCGTTCTCTCAGTCTGTCTGTCCTTCTATCGTTCTCTCTGTCTGTCTGTCCGTCCGTCCTTCTATCGTTCTCTCAGTCTGTCTGTCCTTCTATCGTTCTCTCTCTCTGTCTATTCTTTCCATCTATTTTAACAAATTTTGCTTTTCTGGAATTTCTTTTGAATATCAGTTTAAATTCAGTTCAGTTTCAGACTTTTAGTTTTCTCACTTTTTTACAAATTCAACAATTAAATTGATTTAATTAAATGAAACTTACAAACTTACAATATTTTGTCCCTCTTGACATTCCAAATCCGACTGCTGTCATTTTTTCCCCATGGAACATGAAAGAAGGCTTGAAGGCTTAGCTGTGCTCTCATTTCCATTCATTTGGAATGAAGGTGTACCTTATTATGCCTACCTGTCTGTCATGTGTAGTTCACCCATCCAGATAGTCATTACACATTATAGATTACATTCCATCAACTCAAAGAAAGCTATAAAAATAACTGCACAGAACGATTGCAGAGACTTGCTTACAGAAAGTTGAACTCATCTGACCTCAGACTGTAAATCAGCCCATGACAGATGTAGCAGATATAATTGCAGCGCTTGTCTAAGTATGCATGGCTGTAAGAAAAAAGAAAAAAGAAATGGAGGTTTAGAAGCGAAGTGGAGGAATTTAGGACAACATCTGTTTTCCAATCAACCTGCTGTTCTTTTTATATGGCATTCAAGGAAAATAATTTTTCCATCATACGTGTCCAGTCAGTGTAAAAAATGACAAAGCCCATTATTTTCCGACATGTGTTTTAGACTTCAGCTCCATGTGTAAAGATGAAAAAAATCACCCTGAAACAAGTATATCATCAAGTCATCTGTATTGCTAATATGATATTACAGCTTTGACTCTGTGCTAGTTGACTGAATTTGGATTTCAGTTTAGTCTCCATACATGGTGATTTTGTTTTCAGAGTATTTCTACACTGTAGATTGAAGAATGATAAAGCACAGTTCATTTGTTTTTCCTGCATGCTACAGTACATTGCAATTGTTTCCAGCATCAGTCATCAAACATTGTGAGCAAATAACAAAGAGAACGATAGAAGGACAGACAGACTGAGAGAACGATAGAAGGACAGACAGACTGAGAGAACGATAGAAGGACGGACGGACAGACAGACAGAGAGAACGATAGAAGGACAGACAGACAGACAGAGAGAACGATAGAAGGACAGACAGAACGATAGAAGGATGATCTGTCTGTCTGTCTGTCCTTCTATCGTTCTCTCTCTCTGTCTATTCTTTCCATCTATTTTAACAAATTTTGCTTTTCTGGAATTTCTTTTGAATATCAGTTTAAATTCAGTTCAGTTTCAGACTTTTAGTTTTCTCACTTTTTTACAAATTCAACAATTAAATTGATTTAATTAAATGAAACTTACAATTGAGTTCCATTTTGTCCCTCTTGACATTCCAAATCCGACTGCTGTCATTTTTTCCCCATGGAACATGAAAGAAGGCTTAAATAATTTGCTGTGCTCTCATTTCCATTCATTTGGAATGAAGGTGTACCTTATTATGCCTACCTGTCTGTCATGTGTAGTTCACCCATCCAGATAGTCATTACACATTATAGATTACATTCCATCAACTCAAAGAAAGCTATAAAAATAACTGCACAGAACGATTGCAGAGACTTGCTTACAGAAAGTTGAACTCATCTGACCTCAGACTGTAAATCAGCCCATGACAGATGTAGCAGATATAATTGCAGCGCTTGTCTAAGTATGCATGGCTGTAAGAAAAAAGAAAAAAGAAATGGAGGTTTAGAAGCGAAGTGGAGGAATTTAGGACAACATCTGTTTTCCAATCAACCTGCTGTTCTTTTTATATGGCATTCAAGGAAAATAATTTTTCCATCATACGTGTCCAGTCAGTGTAAAAAATGACAAAGCCCATTATTTTCCGACATGTGTTTTAGACTTCAGCTCCATGTGTAAAGATGAAAAAAATCACCCTGAAACAAGTATATCATCAAGTCATCTGTATTGCTAATATGATATTACAGCTTTGACTCTGTGCTAGTTGACTGAATTTGGATTTCAGTTTAGTCTCCATACATGGTGATTTTGTTTTCAGAGTATTTCTACACTGTAGATTGAAGAATGATAAAGCACAGTTCATTTGTTTTTCCTGCATGCTACAGTACATTGCAATTGTTTCCAGCATCAGTCATCAAACATTGTGAGCAAATAACAAAGAAACGTTGATTTATGAGCTACAGTGGAACATCCAAATGTCTCTTTATTTTGTAATTGCAGGGTTTCTTTTTGTATTGCCCTAGAACAATATTTATTGAACCACTGTGTGAAACATTTAAGTCCAGAAATTATTTCTAGTCTAGTTTTTTTTAATAAGATGTGTTACTTGGTTGTATAAGTCACGCAGTTATTGTTCAGTATTTTCATTGTGTCTTGATAATAAACAGCTGTTACTGTTTATAGGCTGCTTAATGCTTTTATTCACATTGGTTAAAGTAATAATGTACTTCTTTCAAAACCTACTGTAGTGAGCGGCCTATATTTATGCTCCCAAACAAGTTGCATTAACCTTTTTTTTGTGTGTGTGTGATTTATTAATTCAAAATGATTTCTGTTGCTTTTACAGATAAAAAAAAATAGATACTTGGTCTATCTGAATGTTTTTAATTATTTATGTTTCTATAAAAATAATGAAAAGATGAAAATAATTAATTATTTGGGAATTATATAATTGCTTTGAGAATTAAAAACATTTATTTATTACATTTGTTTCTAAACTATCCTGATAATAAAAAAACATTTATGATCATACTATTTTTTTTTTTAATAAATTCTAATGTAAATAATTAATAATAATGTATTATGATGTATTATGTATTATTAATGAATTATGTATTATGATAGATATTATTTATGTGTGTGTGTGTGTGTGTGTATATATATATATATAATGCAGATGTGAACTGATACAGGGTTTTTGACCAGATTTGATCAGTTAGAGCCTGCTAAATGTTGCATAGTTTTGTATATAGTTTATATATTTTTCTTTAGCGATGCAGCATTGCATATTGCAAAAATTGCACAAACTGAAAAATGTGACTCATACATTCAACCATGCTCATTTCCTGTTGTGCTATTCCATATAAAACTACCTCTGCTGGACCAAACTGCTCTCTTGTCATCCTAAACATAGTTTTGTGTTGTTTATTTCCTTTTTAACACAAGCATCTGGGCTGAGTTTCATTCTCCGGTTATTGATTTCACTTATGGCGGTCAGAGGCTAAGTGAGGTTGTCTGGGTTTCGTCCAATGTCAGACACAAACCAGGTGCTTTCACAGGAACACTAGAAAGGTGATAGTCTGTGATGTGACAGACTTCTGGTGTCACATCTGTGGCATCACTCACTGACTCGTAGGGCTTGAGTTTGCTATCAGTTTATGCAAAATAGTTGTGCAATTGTATAGATTTTTATATTTTCTGAAGACATTCAGACTGTTGATTGTCTGTGCAAACTCACTGTCATGAAGTGCTGTGGGTGGTTGCCAGGGCATTGCGGTTGCTAGGGTCTTCTGATGTATTTTGCATGTTGCTGGATTTTTTTTCTTTTTTTGGACCGAAACATTAATCTGAATATTTATTTATTTATTTTACTATAAAGATGAAACAATGTAATTGTTTGGGACTTACATTATATAGTTGCTTTGAGAATTTATTTATTTCATACCTATCCTGGTAACAAAACAAGATGTATGATTATAATAACATTTTAAATGATAATAATGATCAAAATGTATAAATACTGTATTATACATAATATATAAAATATTATATCCTATAGTATTTCATTATTTATGCTTCAATGTATTTACAGTATCATAATTTATATATATTGTAATGTTTATTATATATATATATATATAGAGAGAGAGAGAGAGAGATTTATAGATATTTATTTATAGATCTCAATTTAACAAAAAACAGCAAAATATACAATAATAATAAAGTTCAGTACTGAACAAAACCAAATATTAAATATGAAATGAATGGCACATCTGTGTCATTTATGGCACTGCTTTTTCCTCTAAGAAAATGTTAATTTCTTGCAGGAGTATGTTGTTATTCCTCAGGACAGACGGACGAATCAGATGACTGAAATTGGCATATAAACGATTCCAAAATTACAAACCTCTCAGTTATGAGAAAGTCAAAAGTAAGCTAAAACTGACAGCGATTAGCAGCAGCGACTGATATCCAGTCAGTATGAATGAGCTTCAGACATTAAACTGTCAGATTTGTGCTTCAGCTGTGGTTTCCTGTCTGCCCATTATCTTCTCGCTTTGTGCTTTGCTCTCTCCACAGGAATCGCTTATCTGGGCGGCACCTGTAGCTCCAGGAGGAAGTGTGTGCTGGCGGAGGACAACGGACTCAACCTGGCCTTCACCATCGCTCATGAGCTGGGCCACAAGTGAGTCCAAACACCACAGAAATCTGATTTAGAGGCTCCTGTGATTGTCACAGCTCTGATAGGACGCAGTTAATTATACAACTAGTTTCTGAGATGCTCTGTGGTACTTCAGTGGAGACAAACTTGTTAATATGTCTAATGTTCTTTGTGTTTGGGATCCCAGAAACTTCAATAATGACCGTCAACATCTGTTTTGGTAGTTCTCCAGTGTAGTAAAATGTGTAGTAAAATATTCAAAAGTGACAGTAAAGACATTTATAATGTTACAAAAGATTCAATTACAAATAAATGCTTTTAAACTTTATTATCATCAAAGAATCCTAAAAAAAATGCAACATGGTTTCTACAAAAATATGAAGCTTGTTAACATTGATAGTAATAAATGTTTCTTGAGCAGCATATTAGAATGATTTCTGGAGGATCTTGTGACACTGAAGACTGGAGGAATGATGCTGAAAATTCAGCTTTGATCACAGGAATAAATAGCATTTTAAATATATTCAACAGGTATTTTAAATTGTAATAATATTTCACAATATTACTGTTTTACTGTATAATAAAAAAAATTGTGAGCATAAGAGACTTATTTCAAAATCATTAAAAAATTTTTACTGATCCCAAACTTTTGAGCAGTAGTATATGTTTTAGCTATTGAAAGCACTCCTATACAATGAAAGCGTATTTTAACTAGTAAGTAAGTCATAGGTTTGACACGACATGAGAGTGAGCAAATGATGACAGAATCTATAACTTTTCATTGGTGTTCACACAGACCAGGAATTTTTAGTTTTTTTAAAGGCCGCCAACATTTGCCAATTTGGTCAAACAAGTAGAAGAATGCGATCTCAGCTAAGCTCACCAAAAGATAAAGCACCCAGCCAGATCTTCATCCATGACCGGACTCATCTTCAGACTTGTAAATATCTAGTTTGTAATCGAAATTGGTCATTTAAACCATGCATTGCACTCTGTTGGTTTTTCTAAATACCCAGCTCTGCTCTTTTAACAACAGGTTACTTGTATACGTCCCGGTGCATCAGCTTTCTCTCGTTAATAAGTGATTTAGACTCACAGTTCCATCCTCACCGTGTGCTTTGGAAAACCTAGCGAAATACCTGAAAGAGAACATGCTGATGAACATGCATCATTCACATGAGTTATAGGATTGAACCGAACAAAAACACGCTTCTCACAATAGCTCCCCTTCATCTCCTCGCTAGCGTAAAGCCCTCTTTGATAGAACAATGATGGGCAGCCAACACCAAAATTTGTCTGGAAAAACGCCAAGCTACATTAGCGTAAGCGCCATCTTTGTGGCAGCGCCAGTCTTCAGAGGAGTTATCGCCGTACTTGCTCCAGTATAGCGTGCAGCGGGACGCCACGGGCCAAAGTCGGCTTTAATGCTGGGCAGTAATGAGTTGGCACCAATCACGCCGACTGGTGCTGATACCAAGGCTGCGGCGCTATCATCACGCGCACACAGAGCTCCATTGTCTCCAGTCTGTAAAAACACTTATAAAGCGAGTATGTTACGGGTTTATGTGAGGGTTTAGGTCTTTACTGTAGCAAAACATGTCAATATGATTATTTTATAGAGTCGCTAGCATTGAATATTTCTGTCAGCATGGCATTTACAGTCTCTAATAAACACATGCAACAGCATCACACTTTCTGATGGATTGAGATTTCTCAGAGTACCGAGCAGAGTACAATCTGCTCATGACCTTTTGATTTGGTGCGCGGGCGTAACAGAGCCTAATGATTGTCTGAGAGTCTTGTTTTAGTCTTGCTTTATCAAGTGTAGAAGCTGGTCATTTTCCAATAATAACAGCTGAAGGAGCACGATTAGGGCGCTCTAGGCGTAACGCTAATGTGGGCTTTGCCGCATGCATCGACTCATTCGAAATGAAAACATGCTCCGTATAGGAGAAGTGTGTCATGTCATATTTCAGTCCGCCCACAATGCCTCATTAGTGTCATCATTGCTTATGCGATCATTAGTCAAAGCACCTTTCAGAATAAGGATAAATGAGTCTGTTTAGTGAATGGATGGGTGAGACTGGAAAATTACACAGTGTGAATGACACTATTTACAGTTTTTTTTTTATGCTTTCGAAAATAGTCTCTTGTGCAAACCAAAGCGGCATTTATTTGATCAAAAATACATTAAAAACAGTAAAATTGTGAAAAATTATTACTATTTAAAATAGCTGTTTTCCACATATTGCAATGTATTTTAAAATGTAATTTATTCTTGTGATACAAAGCTGAATTTTATGATTTTATTTATCATTACTCCAGTCTTCAGCATCACATGATCCTTCAGAAATCATTCGAATATGCTGATTTGCTGCTCAAGAAACATACATTTATTTATTTGTATTTAAACATGTATTATTACTAATATTAATGTTGAAAACCGTTGTGCTGCTTCATATTTTTGTGGAAACTGATATTTTTTATTTTTTCAGGATTCTCTGATGAATAGGAAGTTCAAAAGAACAGCATTTATTTGAAATAGAGATCTTTCGTAACATTATAAATGTCTTTACTGTCACTTTTAAAAAAAATGTATGTGCCCTTGCTGAATAAAAGTATTAATTTCTTACCCCAAACTTCCATCCAAGTGTGAATTCAGTATATGTGAAAAATAAGAATATCTCCAAAGCAGTTCTTGTCATTTTCTTTTACTAGCAAACGGTGAGAGATTGTTCAGTATGTGTTTCCATCATAGTGTAATTAGCCACCAAATGTAAGCATAGGGAAATGAAACAAACCACTAAGGATATTAACATTTGGCAAGTAGCTTTTACAGTTTATGGACCTCAATGATTCCTTGATTGTGGCTTATACAGTGTGCAATTATGTTTAAGCAATATGACTTTTTTGACTTGGGTCAGTCAGAAACCATCTAGACCTGCTTAGCAACATACATACAACACCTTGTACATTTAGATTTCCAGCCTATATCTGTAAGCACCAAGTCACTATTGGTCATGCATGATGCCTTCCCTTCCAAGTCTTTTAAGTCCAGTGCACGCTTGATAGGGTATTTGGCTTGTGAAAGCACTTGACCGTTATTAGCTTGGCAGCAAAACGTTCTGTTTTAATAAGGCCAATCATGTTTTTTTCTCTCTCTCTCCCTTAAACAATTTTAACACAGCAGACATTTGGCACCCTTATAAACCTCCCAGTATTGTTTTAGTGTGAGAGAGATTCTCATCTCAGTCCACTTATTAACCAAATCACCCCACTGACATTAAAAGCCACTCATCAATGTTAGAGCTGGAAAGAAAGCGGCGATGAAACTGCTGTAGCGCTCACATTCTTCTCCTTGTTCGTTTAGTTCTCCACAGCGACTGCTTGATTTCTGTTGTGTTCGTTTTCCTTTCGACTTTTATTGCTTTGGTATTTAGCGGGAGCCGAGACGCAACTGCTCTCTTTATTAGTTCCTGCGCTCGCTGCCGCCGCTTCAGTTTTTGCTTGTTGTTTTTAATTTGGGGAATGTAGGTCAGGGCTTTGGAGAAAGCACTGTTACGGCTCTCTCTGACTCGGTTGCTTTGGTTTTCATGGGCACACTTGCTCTTTTTCGGTGTAATAATGTATTGTTATGCATTCAAGGGAAGCTTCGTAAACAGCGTGTTAATGATTATGTTTAACAAGTACAGTAACTATTTATTGTGCACTAAGTTTGCCTGGGGGAGACTCGTAGTTTGTCAAATCACTGCTGTTTCTTATTAGTGTTTGGTGTTTTTGATGGTTTGTCTCTCTAGCATGGGCATGAGCCATGATGACGATCACGCCAGCTGCACGGGCCACTCTCACATCATGTCCGGGGAATGGGTCAAAGGTCGTAACCCCAGTGACCTCTCCTGGTCCAGCTGCAGTCGTGACGACCTGGAGAAGTTCCTCAGGTGAGACTGTGTGTGCTGTAAGATGTAAAATCCTCAAACTAGCCTCTGTTTTTAGGTGTTATTAGTAGGTTAGGTGTTAGTAGGTGTTATTGCCTGTTAGCTTTCAATAGCCAATACTGATAACTAGACAGTGGAAAATATTTTTTATGAATTTCTGGAAAATGTTGTATTTACTAGATAGATAAACAGACAGATAGAGAGAGAATATGTCATTTAACAATACAGCAATAATTGTATTTGATCAATTATAATTTATTATATTTAATTATAGCAAATAAGATTCTGCATATAATGCATATAATTAAACTACAGTGACATTCTCAGAAAAAAAATCTTTAATTAAAATAATTTCTCAAAATTAGATTTTTTATTAATAAATAATATAAAAGTTGATATTTATATTAGTAATTTTAAATTTTTGTAATTTGTAATTACTCTTTAATTTTAATAGTTTTCAGTTATCTGGTTTTACTACTTTTCCATACACAAAAATCTTAATTTAATTGATGTATTTTTAATATTATAGTATTTAATATATATATATATTAAATATATATATATACAATATTATTATTATTTAAAAAAATCAATAAAGGAATAAATGACTGTATATTGTACTTTCCTTCTTTTTTTTCCTGATCCCATGCCTGTTCTCTGGGGAGATTTAAAATATTGCTCAAATTTTATTTTTTGCATGCAAATACCCTGGTCACTCTTTTCCATATAATGGAATTGAATAAAAACTCAGGCTGTCAAGCTAAAAAATAACAGCAATAAAATTGATCCATATGATGCTTGCACTATAACAATTTGATCCGTTCCTCACTTAAAGCTGTTGATTTTGTAAAACTTAGAATACAGTGCATCAGTCATATAGACCACTTATTTGATTTTTTTTTGTTTCTGATTCTGTTATGGTGTTTCTGGGTCCATTTTGTAGCTTAAACCCTCTAGATTTTATTCTTTGTAATGGCATGGGAAAGAATGACCAATGATTATTAAAATGTTTCCTTTTGTTTTCCACTAAAGAAAGTGATATAGGTTTTGGAACGACATGAGTAAATGATGACAGACTATTCATTTAACCCTATATTGCTTTTTATTTGCCTTCTCTTCATAATCTTTTTGGCTTCCCTTTATCTTTTAGCCACTCTTTCATGTTCTGTCTCTGTCTATTTCATATTTTCCCACATTCAGATGAGTCACTGACACCTACAGTCTCTTTTGTGAGCTCTCTCATGCTCTCCCTTTAGCTGGGCAGCTGCGTTCATCCCATTTACTGTTTTATGTTCTTCCTTTGTACATCTCCGCCTGAGTCTCTTTCCTTTTCTTTTGTCCAGCTGCTTTCTGTTTGCAGCCTCTTTGGTTGGTCAGTTTTTCATCATTTCTTTTTTCCTTCCTTTTGTCATGCTTCTGCCCTTTCTGTCCCTCCTCTCATCTTCTGTCTCTCGATCCCAGGGAAAAATGAGGCTCATTCTTATGAGACTTTGTATGTTTGCCCATGTAACCACAGATAATATTTGACTAATTACATTGGTTAACCACAGGTGGTCACTTTCTTATGTTTTTAAGCCTTATAATGACGGATATGGGATCCTAATGTAACTTTTTACCACAACTGCTAATGGCAGGTGATCTGAATATTTCTTACTGGCCATGAAAGTGATTATTTTATTTTTTTATACCCCAGTGTCACTTTCATTCAGGGCTCATAATTATAATTATAATAATAGTTTAATTTTCGATTTCAAATGAGTTAATAGTACATTTGTTTTTGTTAGGGATGCACGATATATCGGCCACCATATCGGTATCGGCCCATATCGGCTCATTTTTTCTGTTATCGGTATCGGCCTGATAAGAAAATTTGGCCGATATCTTAAAGCCGATAAATAATGCATTATTTCCTTCAGAGACACTTCAGATGCGCGCTGTTCGTTTGCAGCCTTTTGTGCAATTGTACATTGTAATATTGTGTTTATTTGATGTATATCTGATTTATCTCATATAGAATGCGTTTGGTTAAGTTAAAAGAGCGCTTCAGTTTACCAGTGATCATCTTTAGCTCAGCACACGCAGCCCAAACAGCAGTGCACAACATTAATAACTATGATTGGGAATGTCATGTATATAACATTCTAATGAGAACATTATTATAATAAAACGTTGTGAATTCTTTGGGTTTAGTTGCCGTGTTTCAGCGCGTTGTTATGGGAAGAGCGCATCCACAACAGGATCACACATTCTGACTATAGCACGCAATAACTGCATAATTTTGTACATATATAAGTTGTAATATTATGTTTATGTTGTATTAATATTAATCTCAGGATGCATTTCCTTGAGTTAAATAAGCTGCCAGCAAAACGCTTCAGTTTACCATGTTCATTCAGCTCTTCAGCTTCAGCACGCGCAGCTCAACGGCTGCTATTTAAAACAGTGGTATTAATTTGTTACTTTTTCAAAATCATCGATACATTATTAATAACAACAACCACTTGTATTGTTCTCTTATTATTTTCATCAACAATATGGTTTAGTAATTAAAATCATTTAATTATTGTCCGTGCAGAGGCTATTCCGTTTTATTGATCTATGGCGCATTCATTTTGATTCTTTACACGTGTAATGATGTCCAGTGACTTGTTTGCATTATTTATGCATAATTTTATTTATTTGTAAGACTTTTTTATGACTAAATTTGGTAATGGGAGAGTAAAAATATTTTTAAAACGTACACCGTTCAAACTAGGCTGCTTATGTTGAAGTGTTTGGGATGTGGCTTTTAATGATGAGACCTTTTTTGTAATCAGGCTCTCAAAAAGTATATAACAATTTGGATATAGATTTATCGGCCAACATATCGGTTATCGGCTTTCAAAAATAAAGAATAATCGGTTATCGGCCAAAATTTTCATATCGGTGCATCCCTAAAAAAAAATACCGTCATGTACCGTGAAACCGGTATAATTTTGAAAAATACTGTGATATAAATTTTCGGTCATACCGCCCAGCACTAATTAGAACATTCAAGCAGTTTAAAAAAAATTTTTTTTTTTAAATGTGCCATAGAGAAAACATTGCTGGCGTGCATCACGATACAAATCAATGGCAATAACATTTTAAGATATGTCAGTGCAAGTTAATTTCAGTTAAGACAGTCTTGCACCAGGCTTAAGCCTTGTCTATGAATCTGCGCATTAAAGATGTTTTTAGATAAAATTCTGTGTCTGTCCCTCCACCCGAGCAGGCCAGAATACAACCGAGGAAAAATAGGTCAGGCTTAGCATTTGCTTGAGCATAAATTTATGATTTATTTCTAAAGCCCGTGCTGCTTCATATTTTTGTGGAAACTGATATTTTTTATTTTTTCAGGATTCTCTGATGAATAGGAAGTTCAAAAGAACAGCATTTATTTGAAATAGAGATCTTTCGTAACATTATAAATGTCTTTACTGTCACTTTAAAAAAAATGTATGTGCCCTTGCTGAATAAAAGTATTAATTTCTTACCCCAAACTTCCATCCAAGTGTGAATTCAGTATATGTGAAAAATAAGAATATCTCCAAAGCAGTTCTTGTAATTTTCTTTTACTAGCAAACGGTGAGAGATTGTTCAGTATGTGTTTCCATCATAGTGTAATTAGCCACCAAATGTAAGCATAGGGAAATGAAACAAACCACTAAGGATATTAACATTTGGCAAGTAGCTTTTACAGTTTATGGACCTCAATGATTCCTCGATTGTGGCTTATACAGTGTGCAATTATGTTTAAGCAATATGACTTTTTTGACTTGGGTCAGTCAGAAACCATCTAGACCTGCTTAGCAACATACATACAACACCTTGTACATTTAGATTTCCAGCCTATATCTGTAAGCACCAGCCGCGCTTTTGACCTCAATTCAGACTACAGAGTGTCACCGTATCCAAGCAGATACCAGCATTATCCAAACTCTGCTGTTGAGCTTCTGAGAGCATTTTAATGCCGGAGACAATCAGGCAGATTAGAGTTTTTTCCTGTAGAGTAAAGCTCCTCACTACGATAACACGACAGCCTGGCTCTGCTGCAAAACCCGGTGAGCTGCCTATGTAGGCGTCATAGGCGCACACGTGAAGGCTGTTTCAAAAGGTAGGCACAAAATGATGCTGCCTCGTTTTGAAGCAGCATCACATGTATTCATCCTGCAGAAGGCAATCACATAATTACTGTGAATTCACACATGCCTGTTGTCACTTGTATATAAACTTGCACATGCCCTGTATGACAGCATTTTCCCTCTTGTGCCGGCTTTTTATTTTATTTTATTTTATTTTATTTTATGTAATTTTTTATTTTATTTTATTTTATGTAATTTTATGTAATTTTTTATTTTACTTTACTTTATTTTATGTAATTTTATGTAACTTAATTGAAATTAATTTTATTTTATTTTATTTAATGCAATTTTATTTTATTTTATGTAATTTAGTGTAGTGTAGTGTAGTGTAGTGTGGGTTTTAGTTTTAGTTTTAGTTTTGGGTTTAGTTTAGTTTAGTTTAGTCTGGTTTTGGTTTAGTTTTGCATTTGTTTTGTTTTACATTTGTTTAATTTTTATTATGCCACAATATAAATCGAGATTTAATAAATCAAGCTGGACATTTAGTTTGTCATATTTTATAGGTGTTGTCAGTGTTTTAATCAAATTCCCATTAATTAAATACACAATATTTGAATTTTATTGAAATTTATGTACGTTTAAATTTAAATTGACAAATTCATTTTATTTTATTTTTCACAATGTTTATTTTACTTTATTCACTTAAATTCAAAATTCCTTTTGAATGAATGAATGAATTTACTTATTTATTTATGTTTGCTTGTTTGTTCATTCGTTCATAACATAACACATTGTTTTTCTCTTAAACACATAGTTTTTTCTCTCACACAGGCCATGCCTGCCTGATTATTTTAGGATGAGCTGAAATATTAAATATTTACAGAGAGCAGACGTGCTTGAGAATCCTGAAGTGCATGCGCTCATTAGGCTTTAAAGCATCAACGTCAACCTTTTCAAAATATTTTTCCATTGCAGGTTTTGCAGAAATCTGTCGATGTTTCACTGTAGACATCGTCTGATGTCAATTTGGTAGACATCGCCCAACCCTACTTTACACTGATTGAAAGATGAGAGAGTGGACTTGGAGAACGATGAATTTTACTTTGAGCAAATTAATTAGCAATGGAAAACCAGTATTAGAAGCACAACAATTCCTAATTTCTTTTATAAGAAAGCTTGCAATTCATAAAGTTGTGTGTGAAGATGTTGTGTACATCGTTTGTCTAACATCTTATTGTCTTACAGATCGAAAGCAAGTGCCTGTTTGCTGCATACTGACCCACGAAATCGCTACCCCATCCGCCTGCCAGCCAAACTTCCCGGGATGCACTACAGCGCTGACGAACAGTGCCAGATCCTATTCGGCACCAACGCTACGTTCTGCACTGATATGGAGGTGTGTGTGTGTCTTTCATCTGGGAATGCACTGATATCATACTGTGCTCATGCACTACATATTTCCATACCGTAAACGGACACAATGCAGCGTACGTACACACAAATAAACACTGGCAACATGCAACTGAAACTTTTTGACCTAAACAAGCTCATATATATGTGACAGAATCCCATTTCAGTTACTTTGTTGTCTTGGTCCTGGGATCATTTCCATATGTATCTAGTTGAAGGATAAATTTATCCAGGCTACATTTGTAGCATAAAAGGGTTTAACGTTTATCCACTAAAAGCCTCCTTCTTCATATTGCATAAAAAACATGAAATAAATTAATTTCTGTATAAAATAAATTACAATGCATACATTGTAATTAATATAATAATATACATATTATATATTTAGTTTAAATGGTACATAAATGAAAATAAAAGTCATAAATTAAGATATCATTTATGCACATTAAAAATTAATTTAATTTGGTATGAATCTGTTTGGTCTTTGTAATAGTCACAATATTAAATGTGACTTCATAATTGTGGTATAATAATTTATGTTATACATGTAAATGATTCTGCTGTTGTTAAACAGCAAATAATCAAACCTTAATCTCTAAAAAATTATTTTAATAAAATGCCCATTAACTGAATTCATAAATTAATTTTATTTTATTTATTCACATAGTCACAATTTAATTCACATTTTACTTTTGTAAAAAAAAAATATATTATTTATTTGTTTGTTTGTTTCTACATTTTAATTTATAAAATATATCCATTAATTAAATTAAATTTGAAAAATCCATTTTGTCTTCATCATTTTATTTTATTCACATAAACTCACAATTAAATTCACATTTTACTTTTGTATGTATGTATTTATTTATTTATTCATTCATTTTAATTTGTTATAAAATATATCCATTAATTACATTTTAAAAATCCATTTTGTCTTCATCATTTTATTTAGTTTAGTTTAGTTTCGTGTTGTCTTGGCCCTGGGATCATTCCCATATGTAGCTAGTGCAAGTATAAAATTATCCAGGCTACATTTGTAGCAGGAGAATATCATAAAAGAGTATTTGCACTTAATCATAAATCATGTTTATCCACGCAAAGCCTCGGATCTCTGGATATTGCCGTCTGGAAGTTTCAGTTCGTAAGTTGCCAGAGTGAAAACATCAGAGCTGATGGCAGGTGCTGGCGTATCAGGTCTGATCTGATCAGTTCCCAGTCAGTTCATGCTTTCCTGAGCGTGTAATCATCAGCTGTAACCGTTCAGATCATCGCTGCATTTCCACTCGCTGCCTGTCCATCATAACTGTATACCATCTACACGTTGTGCAGTGCTACAGCAGATACCTAGATTCACATAAAACATGCGTGAAGAAGATGAACAGTCTGTTGCTGAAAGGCAGAGAGGAGCTGACATAAAAGAGACATCTAAAACAAAGTGTAAATAAGGCAATTTAATGTCTGTCCTGCCACCTTTGAAGTGTTTCTCTCTGTGAGATTGGAAAAGTGATTGAGCACAAAGTAAAGTAGCGTGTCTGGCTAAAGTAAAAATACGAACCTGTCAGACTGGCACAGAAAATACTATCATCTCAAGGGCTGTTGGATAATAAACTCTCTTTGTTTGAGGAGAGGAAAGAATGTGTGAAATATAAACATTATATTATTTTTATTTTATTTTGCCATTGAGATATTAAAGAGATTTCATTTGTGCTTTTTCTTTACTGTGGGATAATTCCCACAGATACTGGGAATTCCCTTCCTAGATACTGTTTTCTAACGTTAAAATCAAATAAGAATGAAATAAAAATGATCAAATTGTTTCTATACTGTCTACATGAATGTAAACTGTGTCTGTTGTTTCAGCACCTGATGTGTGCTGGTCTCTGGTGTTTGGTGGAAGGAGACACGTCATGTAAAACCAAACTAGATCCACCGCTGGACGGCACAGAATGTGGAGCTGACAAGGTTCACCAGCTTATCTTTAATATTACTAAGGACATTGTACGCAATCTAATGTAAGAAAGAAGACTTAAGACTAATGATGTTCACTACTGTTCAAAGTTTTTTTTTTTTTATACTTTTAAAGGAAATTAATACTTTTATTTAGCAAGGACGCATTAAATAGATTTATTTTATTTTAATTTTTAATTAATAATTTCATACAGTAAGGACACTTGATAAGGACAATTGATCAAAAGTGCTTTTTATTCATTATAGGATCCTGAACAAAATGTTTCCCAGTTTATACAAAAATATTAAGCAGCACAACTGTTTTCCACATTGATAATAATAAGAAATGTTTGTTGAGCAGCAAATCAGCATATCAGAATGATTTCTGAAGGATCATGTGACACTGAAGTCTGGAGGAATGATGCTGAAAATTCAGCTTTGATCACAGGAATAAATTACATTATAAAAAATATTCAAATAGAAAACACTTATTTTAAATTGTAATAATATTTCACAGTATTACTGATTTTACTGTATTTTCGATCAAATAAATGCAGCCTTGGTGAGCAGAAGAGACTTCTTTTTTAAAAGCATTCAAAAAACCTGTAGTGTAAATCAAAAGGGGATTTTCAACTTGAATGTCTTAAAACATAAAATTCATCATTGCAGCAGTTTAATAAACGAGGGTAGCGTTTGGCAACAAATCCTATAATATTTGCGAAGTGTCAATACAGCAGCACCGCCTGTAATCAACTTCATGTAAAGGAAATTAAATCTGTGGTTTGTCTTCATTTAGCTGGATTAACATGAATGTGTGTGTCTTTCTCAGTGGTGCAGGGCTGGTGAGTGTGTCAGTAAGACGCCCATCCCGCAGCATGTAGATGGGGACTGGAGTCCGTGGAGCACGTGGAGCATGTGCAGCCGAACATGTGGCACAGGAGCATGCTTCAGACAGAGGAAATGTGACAACCCCCCGTAAGCCTTTACATCTCTCACTTTCTCTCCATCCATGTCAATTAGGGCTTGAATGACCACTAATTTTTACTAGTCGACATTCAGAAAAGTAGTCAGCTGGTCAGTGTTTACCTGATATAAATGACTCAACACTCACCATCCAGTTTTACTTTCACAGATTTAAGTGCCTGTTGTGGTTTGTTATACAAAACTAACTAGTTGTGCATGTAATATTGTGAACAAACAGGCTGTGGTCCGGAGATGATCTGACTCAATGCAAACGCAGGCACCATCCAAACCCACAATGCACCACAATAATCCTGTTTGTGTTTTGGCAGGAACAAGCTCTCCTCTCACTCTCCTCCTCCATCTAATGATGCCGTTTCGCTCCGAGTGTCATTTCTCAACGCCTGACAGCCCGCCAGAGAGCTTGTTTCAGAGTTTATGTGTGTGTGTTTAAAACATGATGTAATAATTCAAAGCTCTTCGGTTGTTTCCAACGCAGAACAGCATGCAATTTGTGAACGGTGGTCTAAGATGTGCGTTTTTTTGTTTTGGACGCTCGTAACGTCTCGTGCCACGTTCGCGAGGTAATCGTTCTTTTGCGCTCCGTCGCTCCACCGTGGATCGTAAAACACTTGGAGCTGCATCAAGCAAACCGAAGAGCAAAATAAGGCTGACGTACAAGTCATGTTCTGTTTTTAAGAACATTAGAGGAAAAGTGGTAAGACAGAGTATGAGGAAGAAACTAGATTTGCATTTGCTGGGGGGAAAAAAAGCAGATTTAAGTAAGGTTTTGCATTCTGTGTGAGACCAGTCTTAATTCAGAATGCAAATAAATGTGAGAAAATTGACCAATCACAATTCAATATGAAAATCTCTGATGAGGTCATCAGTGTTGGTTTACATTTTGATTGCTGAACTCCGTACGAGTGTGATTTCGAATCTTTAAAGGATTAGTTCACTACCAGTGAATAAAAATATCCTGATAATTTCTTCACCCCAATTAAGGTTTTTGAGGAAAACGTTCCAGGATTTCTCGCTATATAATGGACTTCTGTGGTGTTCAACAGGCTGAAGGTCCAAATTGCAGTTTCGGTGCAGCTTCATAAGGGTTCTACACGATCCCAGCCGAGGAATAAGGTCTTCTCTAGCGAAACAATCGGTCATTTTCTAAAAAACATTTATATACTTTTAACCACAAATGCTCGTCTTGCACTAGCTTGACTAGGTGGAAATACCAACCCAGTGTTTACAAAGTGAACGTGCAAAGAAAGTCAAATGCCCTTTATAAAAAAAGGTAAAACAACGATGTCTTATTATTTCGAAGTTGGAGGAGAAAGTGAGGCCCTACTCTACCTTTTTTTTTAACCCAAGTACACAGACGAAGCACTAACCGCGCATGACCTTTCCAACGTGATTACGTCATGCGTGAATTTGCAGACACACATCGCAGAGCTAGTGCAAGACGTGCATTTGACTGTGAAAAATGCACATTCAAATGACTGATCATTTCGCTAGATAAGACCCTTATTCCTCGGCTGGGATCGAGTAGAGCCCTTTGAAGCCGCTTTGAAACTGCAATTTGGACCTTCAGCTCGTTGGTCTCCATTGAAGTCCATTATATGAAGAAAAATCCTGGAATGTTTTACCTTATAAACCTTTATTTCTTTGCGACTGAAGACAGAAAGACACGGACATCTTGGATGACATGGGGGTGAGTAAATAATCAGGAACTTTTTATTCTGGAAGTGAACTAATCCTTTAATCTAGACAACATGAAATCTTGTTCTGAATGATTCATCAGTGCATTTCAAAGAAAAACTTTAATCAAAATATAACTTTTCTTCTGACATCATTTTGGGCATGCTGGCTTTTAGATTATGTTAATCAATAGCCAAATAGCTGTTTTGGCATCACTTTAGCAAACTTGCATTAAAGTCTGGCATCGTTCTGGTATATAACACCACTTTTTATCTAATCAATTCCTGATGGATACTGTCAAGTCCCTCCCTACATTTCTTAACATTAAATAGCGTGTTTCAGTCAGAGATGCATGACATTAGAGAAGTAATGGGTTCAGAACTGTATTTTTAAATTAGGCTGTGTTTTACTCACCACAGAGCCATCCTAGGTGTATATGACTTTCTTCTTTCAGACGAATCCAGTCTGAGTTATATTAAGAATTGTCCTGGCTATTCCAAGCTCTATCATTGCAGTCAGCAGGTGTTGCAGCAGTGCTTCAATCCAAAAGAAGTTAAATAAAAAGCGCCCATCCATAAAAAAAAGTGTCTCACACGGCTCCGGGGGGTGAACAAAGGCCTTCTGTAGCGAATCAATGCATTTTTGTAAGAAAAATATCCATATTCAAAACGTAATAATCACTTTAATCTAGCTTGCGCCAACAGTCGTACACGGAAGCCGCTCCAGGCGGATGACGTATGAGTTGGCGGATGACGTTGCGCATGCGCCGGTGAGTCTCGTGAAAACCAACGTTTGTTAACAGGAGCAAAGGAAGCAAAGTTTCCTTACTTTAGCAAAGGAAAACCAGTCTCCTCTTGGCTATTCTTCTTTACAAATCCTCGTTTTGTACTTCTAATTAGTGACCGTTGTTTTGTTTTGATCTCTCCCTTCCGCTTCCGCGTTCGTCACTTCTGAGCGGCACATGCGCAACGCTGACCTCCATACGTCATTCCCCTGGAACTGCCTCCGTTTACAACAGTGAGCGCAAGCTAGATTAAAGTGATTATTACGTTTTGAATATGGATATTTGTCTCACAAAAATGCATCGATTCACTACAGGAGACCTTTGTTCACCCCACCGGAGCCGTGTGAGGCACTTTTTTTTTTTATTATGGATGGGTGCTTTTTATTTCACTTCTTTTGGATTGAAGCACTGCAACACCCGCTGAGTGCAATTATAGGGCTTGGAACAGCCAGGACAATTTTTTATGTAACTCCGACTGGATTCGTCTGAAAGAAGAAAGTCATATACACCTAGGATGCCTCGGGGGTGAGTAAAACACAGCCTAATTTTCATTTTTGGGTGAACTAACCCTTTAAAAGCACTGCAAAAAATGCTTTTCTTATTTAGATTTTTTGTCTTGTTTCCAGGTTAAGATTATTTTGCTTACCCCATTGGTAGATTATTTAGCTTGTTCTAAGCAAAAACTCACTTAATTTTGACTTGTTTTTCTGAAAACAAGACTAAGTTTTTCTTGTCTAGAAAATCCTTCTTGATTTAAGAATTTGTAAACATTTTTGGCTGGAAACAAGACAAAAAATCTAAGTAAGAAAAGCATTTTTATATAAGTTTATATAAAGCAGAAGTAGATTTAAGTTTGCAGTTTTTTTTTTGTTTAAAGAAATTAATACTTTTATTCAGCAAGGATGTATTAAATTGATCAAAAGTGACATTAAAGACATTTATAATGTTACAAAAGATTCATATTTTAAATAAATGCTGTTATTTATAGTCATCAACAGTTGCAGCACAACTGTTTTCAGCATTGATAATAATAAGAAATGTTTGTTGAGCAGCAAATCAGCATATTAGAATGATTTCTGAAGGATCATGTGACACTGAAGACTGAGTAATGATGCTGAAAATTCACAGGAATAATTTACATTTTAAAATATATTCAAATAGAAAACTATTTTAATGTGTAATAATATTTCACAGTATTACTGTTTTTTTTTTACTGTATTTTTGATCAAATAAATGCAGCCTTAGTGAGAATAAGTGACTTACCAACCTCAAAACGTATAAATGGTCTGTTCGTTGAGCCGTTGGGGTGTAAATAAAATAAGATGAAATTAACCTTAATTAGAATGTTTGAGAGATATCAGTACAGTTCGGCCCGGCAAACTCTGTAATACATTCAAATGAGGGAAATGCGACAGTTTGGAGAGACTCTCGCAGCAGACGAGACAGATTGAATGTGAGGAGACTTGTTAATGAACAGGTTTTAGACTGTCATGTTGTCAGCTGTCATCATTTGAGCAAGTGTAACAACTTCTAATGAAGGTTTATGGGGCCTCAAAAACCCTCCCTCAGTCATTTTGAGCTTGACCTCTGTCATGGAGCGACTGCCTCTCCTCACGTCTCCTCTTCTCAATCCTCGCCCTACTGCTAGGATACTGATCTTCATGTTTGGTCTTCAGGTTATAATTCACGTTTAGGTCATAGAGCAGTATGTATAACTGTACTTCTTGTGGTTGTGGTTCTCCAGGCCCGGTCCAGGAGGGAAGTACTGTCAGAAGGCCAGTGTGGAGCACAAAGCGTGTGAAGGGCCGCCGTGTTCCAAGGGTCTGCCTACATTTAGAGACCAGCAGTGTCAGTCTCATGACCGGCTGGCCAGTAAGAAGAAAAGCCAGATGTGGACAGCTGTGATCGACGATGGTAAGACTAAAAATACACCTCTGTTTGCTGAATGAAAGCCAATATTTGTTTCATACTGATTTTGCCATACTGATTCCAGAAATAGTGCCTGTTTTGCTCAAGCATGTTACACTTTCACACAAAATATCATGCATTGTGTAGCTTTTTTTGCTTTTGACAACCATTTGTAAGCTGAGGAAGTCTTGTATTATCACTTAATCAGCAAAAAAAAAAAAAAACTGCCACAAAGACATGATTCCTGTCTTCCTCTGAGCCAGATTACAGAATGTGATTTCCACATGTATGAATGATTTAGAAGACATTATTTTATATCTAATCCTCATTTCAAGGTTATTCAAGGAGTTATGGCCAATCACAGCAGAAAATGCAAACATGACCCAGATGTTTTCTGCTACATCTGTGGGTGTTTTACTACATCCAAACAGCAACAGAAAATTACAGATTTTGGAAAAAAAATATATATATATATGTATATATAATGATGTATATCTATATATATATATCATTTTTTATTTTTTTAAAATCTGTAATTCTGTGTGAGAAAGCCTCTGCCTTAAGTTAAATGTTAAATTATATATTTTGAATACTACTTTTTGTTGTTAAAACAAAACCTTTGACATTTGACTGCTTTTGTTATTTTGTGCGTTAAAACTGTTCAGTTCGGTGTCAGAGCGAGAAAGTGACCAAGAGTCTGAGCTGGATTGAAAACAGCACTTGTGTGATTTCACACTGTGAGCTCTTGTCAAGAACATGTTCACTTGATTACTGGGCAGTTTATGAGGAGATACAAGAGGGTGAATGTTGTGTCTTGTTAGAGTCCAAATTCATCTCTGAATTCTGTGAGCCAGTCATTTTGATGTTCCGCTGCTTCTCGCTGTCACTCATAATCATCTTAAACGTCCTGTCATCTCAGCATCTCAGCAATCTATCTATCTATCTATCTATCTATCTATCTATCTATCTATCTATCTCTGTCTGTCTGTCTGTCTGTCTGTCTGTCTGTCTGTCTGTCTGCATCAGTATTACTGTTTTTTTTTTACTGTATTTTTGATCAAATAAATGCAGCCTTAGTGAGAATAAGTGACTTACCAACCTCAAAACGTATAAATGGTCTGTTCGTTGAGCCGTTGGGGTGTAAATAAAATAAGATGAAATTAACCTTAATTAGAATGTTTGAGAGATATCAGTACAGTTCGGCCCGGCAAACTCTGTAATACATTCAAATGAGGGAAATGCGACAGTTTGGAGAGACTCTCGCAGCAGACGAGACAGATTGAATGTGAGGAGACTTGTTAATGAACAGGTTTTAGACTGTCATGTTGTCAGCTGTCATCATTTGAGCAAGTGTAACAACTTCTAATGAAGGTTTATGGGGCCTCAAAAACCCTCCCTCAGTCATTTTGAGCTTGACCTCTGTCATGGAGCGACTGCCTCTCCTCACGTCTCCTCTTCTCAATCCTCGCCCTACTGCTAGGATACTGATCTTCATGTTTGGTCTTCAGGTTATAATTCACGTTTAGGTCATAGAGCAGTATGTATAACTGTACTTCTTGTGGTTGTGGTTCTCCAGGCCCGGTCCAGGAGGGAAGTACTGTCAGAAGGCCAGTGTGGAGCACAAAGCGTGTGAAGGGCCGCCGTGTTCCAAGGGTCTGCCTACATTTAGAGACCAGCAGTGTCAGTCTCATGACCGGCTGGCCAGTAAGAAGAAAAGCCAGATGTGGACAGCTGTGATCGACGATGGTAAGACTAAAAATACACCTCTGTTTGCTGAATGAAAGCCAATATTTGTTTCATACTGATTTTGCCATACTGATTCCAGAAATAGTGCCTGTTTTGCTCAAGCATGTTACACTTTCACACAAAATATCATGCATTGTGTAGCTTTTTTTGCTTTTGACAACCATTTGTAAGCTGAGGAAGTCTTGTATTATCCCTTAATCAGCAAAAAAAAAAAAAAACTGCCACAAAGACATGATTCCTGTCTTCCTCTGAGCCAGATTACAGAATGTGATTTCCACATGTATGAATGATTTAGAAGACATTATTTTATATCTAATCCTCATTTCAAGGTTATTCAAGGAGTTATGGCCAATCACAGCAGAAAATGCAAACATGACCCAGATGTTTTCTGCTACATCTGTGGGTGTTTTACTACATCCAAACAGCAACAGAAAATTACAGATTTTGGAAAAAAAATATATATATATATGTATATATAATGATGTATATATATATATATATATCATTTTTTATTTTTTTAAAATCTGTAATTCTGTGTGAGAAAGCCTCTGCCTTAAGTTAAATGTTAAATTATATATTTTGAATACTACTTTTTGTTGTTAAAACAAAACCTTTGACATTTGACTGCTTTTGTTATTTTGTGCGTTAAAACTGTTCAGTTCGGTGTCAGAGCGAGAAAGTGACCAAGAGTCTGAGCTGGATTGAAAACAGCACTTGTGTGATTTCACACTGTGAGCTCTTGTCAAGAACATGTTCACTTGATTACTGGGCAGTTTATGAGGAGATACAAGAGGGTGAATGTTGTGTCTTGTTAGAGTCCAAATTCATCTCTGAATTCTGTGAGCCAGTCATTTTGATGTTCCGCTGCTTCTCGCTGTCACTCATAATCATCTTAAACGTCCTGTCATCTCAGCATCTCAGCATCTATCTATCTATCTATCTATCTATCTATCTATCTATCTATCTATCTATCTATCTCTGTCTGTCTGTCTGTCTGTCTGTCTGTCTGTCTGCATATTTATTATCATATTGAAAAACCTGCATAATATATATATTTGCAACGAAAACCACTTATTTTCTGCAATTAGATGGAAACAGTATAACCAAAGAACCCGAGCAAACATCCTCCTGTGCACCTGAAAGGCTTCACACTCTGACGAAAGCAATGAAGCCGCAGCACTCAAAAAGCACTCTCTCGATTTTACCTCACAATGGCAGAAACACAGGCTCTCCAAATTCTGATAGCTCGAGAGTCACTTACAGACATTCACTTTAACAGTGAACTTTCATCTTCTGCAGACTAAAGGAGCACAAAGCTGCTCTTAAATCACAACACGTCACTCAGAAACAGGCTTGTGATCTTCTTAAGTAGACTCCTCAGAAAAGACTGCACTTCATGTGTTCTAACTGAAAGTACAGAAACTTGTGCCTCTTTCAGCCTCAAAGCTCAATCCATACAGATTGGATCCGATAAAACTCATTTGTGGAGGAATTTTGTGAACAAACGGAAACAAAAAAAAATGATGCATGTACATGCTAAATGAAGCATTTATTTATGTGTGTGTGCTTTTATTTCCCAGAAAAGCCATGCACTCTATATTGTTCACCCGTCGGCAGTGATGCACCGGTACTAGTGGCAGAACGTGTGCTGGACGGAACGCCATGTGGACCTTATGAGAGCGACCTGTGTGTGAGTGGAAAATGTCAGGTGTGTATTTTCATATGCACTACTGTTCAAAAGTTTGGGGTCAGTAAGTTTTTTTTTTTCCCCTCCACTAAGGCTGCATTTTAAAAAAATGCAGTAAAAACAGTAAATATCATTCAAATTTAAAATAACTGTTTTCTATTGTAATATATTTTAAAATGTAATTTATTCCTGTGATGCAAAGCTAAATTTTCAGCATCATTACTCCAGTCTTCAGTGTCACGTGATCCTTCAGAAATCAGTCTAATATGCTGATTTGCTGCTCAAGAAAAAACTTTCTGTAATTTAAAAGCCAATTTGCACGTTCACATACTCTTTTCAAACTGTTAAACCTAAATTCAAATCCTAGCCCAATACAAACATGAATAAGACCGCAATTTCTATAGTAATACCATGTTGAAATATATTCTGAAACTAAAATATCAAATACTATCCAAAGATTTGCTGCTCAAGAAAAAACTTTCTGTAATTTAAAAGCCAATTTGCACGTTCACATACTCTTTTCAAACTGTTAAACCTAAATTCAAATCCTAGCCCAATACAAACATGAATAAGACCGCAATTTCTATAGTAATACCATGTTGAAATATATTCTGAAACTAAAATATCAAATACTATCCAAGCAATTACATGTAACTGATTGATGTAAAATTATTATTAAAAAAAAAACACCATAAATTACCATAGACATAGTCTAGATGACTTGTGCACTATATTTTATGCTGTGCACAGTCTTATGAAGTCATACGATAGCTTTGTGTGAGAAGCATTTTAATGTTTAATATATAAACATGAAGTAAAATAATGACTGTTTCTTGTCCAGTTTTCTAAAAATCCCCCATTTTGTCATACACTGTCAAATATTCCTTTTTATATATATTCTTCTTCCAAACTCACGTCTTTGGTTGAGCCAGAAATCGACAAATAGAACAGTGTGTTTACAGTTTTCACAGGGTCCTCATACAAATATCATATTGATTGCAATTGTCTCTGAAATATGAGAAGACCGATATGAGCGATTTTAGCATTAAAAATGACACATTACATTTAATGAAGTTTAAGGTTAAAAACCTGCCTGATCGTTTGATTAAAGACGAGTGTGAGATCATATTGCGTCAGTTCATTTTCTGCAGTGATTTACAGTAAGACATTGCATAAGAGTATAAGAGTATTTGAGATGCTTTGTGATTGTAGAAGCATGTTGTCATAGAAGAAGACTGATGAAAGAACGAGAATAGAGAATGAGAGAATGAATACAGTTGTGTAGTAGTTTTGAGAGTTGTGCAGTAGTGTAGTTGTTTGACCGTTAAAGATGCGTTGCACACTTAGGAAGCTTAGTTTTGACCGATGTTTGACACCGATGTCGACTGTCAACCACGCTATTGCTCAATGGCCGCTAGTAAGAGTACAAGACTGAAAGGAGGTCACAGTCTGCAAGCCGCCTCCACTAATAGAAAGCAGGACTGAAAAAAGCAGGTCAAAATGTCTGGAAGTGATTTCACTGTGTGCACTATAACTAACAAACAAACACACACACACACGCACGTGCGGTTACTGTACATGAGTGTAGGGATTCATCAGCCCTGAACATTGACTACACCCCTTCATTCTGTAATATAAACATGCTCCACCTGAGCTGCCCCACAGGAAGTGACCAGATTCAGGTCCTGTCCTGGTTTGTCCTGACCACAATCCCAGCATCGCTGTTTTGGAGTTAGCACTCATATTCACAGTCTCAATGCAGCTCTTGTGTCAGAAACATCCAGAGGGAGTGAACGGATGCTCAGCGCCAGGATCCTTCAGTGAAAATATGATTTATGTGACCTTTTCCTGTTTATTTATTCCATTCTGCTTTTACTTTTAAGCGAACCTATTAAGAAGCAAATCACTGACAGAGACTACCTGGATTTAATGAAAGCGACAATAGGGAAGACATTATTTACACACAGGATCCAAACAAGAAGATTCTTTCAGCGTCATTAGCATCATCCCTAATTTTCCGATTTGTCAAATGTTTGTTAGTGTTTCTCAGGAACACATGCTCATTGTTTTTCTGGTGAATACTGATTTAATTTGCTGAAAATGTACTCAACCTCAGGCCATCCAATATGTAGATGAGTTTGTTTCTTCATGGGAAAAGATTTGGAGAAATGTAGCGTTACAGCTCTTGCTCACCAATGGATCCTCTGCAGTGAATGGGTGCCGTCAGACTGAGAGTCCAAACAAACATCCACAAGTAATCCACACCACTCCAGTCCATCAGTTAATGTCTTGTGAAGCGAAAAGCTGCATGTTTGTAAGGAACGAATCCATCATTAAGATGTTTTTAACTTCAAACCATTTATTCCTCTATAATCTTGCTTTCTCCAGTGAAAAGGTAATCTTGTCTGAATCAGGAGAGAAATATGCACAGATCAAGCACTGATCACAAGCCAAAATAGTCCAAAATAGTTCTGAACATATATGTTGGTGGATTTTGATGTGGGAGGACAGCAGGATGTGGACTTCTTCACTGAAGAAAGTGTCATTATGGATTATGGACTTGTATTTTGTCCAGAAGCGATGGTTTAATGTTAAAACATCTTAATGGTGGATTCGTTTCTTACAAACATGCGGCTTTTCATTTCACGAGACATTAACTGATGGACTGGAGTGGTGTGGATTATTGTGATGTTTTATCAGCTGTTTGGACTCTCATTCTGACGGCACCCATTCACTGCAGAGCATCCATTGGTGAGCAAGTGATGTAATGCTACATTTCTCCAAATCTGTTTCTATGAAGAAACGAACGCATCTACATTTTGGATGGCCTGAGGGTGAGTACATTTTCAGCTTTTCAAATTTTCATTTTTGGTTGAAATATTCCTTTAAACAGACAAGATTCCAATTTGTCTACACTGAATGCAAAAAATGGGGCCTGACATGACTCATTCGATCATAAAGTACAACCAATCAGAATGACTCGGTTTCAACGCTCTCTCGCCCTTAACACGCACTGCAACACATCGTCTTTGAACATTCCTGAAGTGAAATGAAGAATGACTTCCTGTGCATCCAGATAATTCATCAGTTCAACCAGCAGTGATTGCCACAGACCATTTACTAATGGCATTTTACATTAGGTTTCTGAAATCATTCGCTAAATATTTACATGATAAGGTTTTCACTTTCAGGCGTTATTTTGTTGCGTTTGAAGTTATGCAACCATTGAGCCATTATTCTTTATGTGACTTGATGTTGTGCCAAAGAAATCTGAATTATATTACACTGATTTGTTATTAACATTGGGCAACAACTTGCTTGGCGTGTTTTTTTGTCTTCTTTTTTTTAAAGGTATTTTGACCCCTTATATGGCGTTTTCTTTCTTGTGGAGCACAAAATCTTAACACAGCTTCTTTTCATACAATGACACTTATGTAACGTTTATTATTATTTATTAGCTCTAAAAAGGGGAATATTTATGACGAATCATAAATGGTTATGATTCATAATAAATATTTAGATTATATCTTCGAATTAACTGTAGCAGAATCAATATTACAATTATTTGATCTGTCCGTCCACCGAGCAGACAATATAATCATTTATCAATTCAAGGAATATTTATTTTCTGGCCACGGAACAATAAACTGTCCTTCTTTGTACAGTGCTAGCAGTAATTCTTAGCAAAATGTAGCGAGGGTTCAAACATTCATTGACTTGGAACTGTGAACAGTAAACAGAAACAATCCGTTGTGAATATAAGGGATTTAATAAAATGAAACTATATCTAACATATAACTAACTAAAACATATATATACAGAATGAAACAAAGTAAGGAAAAGATAGAGAATAGAAAAGAATGGCAGTATTTCACATCACTTAACCACAACCATGGAAAATCATCAAAGAATCCAAAAATCACCTTAAAAGGGACTGAAATTTAAACACGCATCTGAATAATTTGAAGCGGTTACTTGCATTGGTTTCGATTGCTGAAAAAGAGTCCGGATGCAGTAGATAACGGAG